ACAAGGGACACTTCGACACGGGAACAATCGATGATAGCTTCATGACGTGATAACAAATCCCAACCCAGGATAAGGTCATGAGAGCAAGATGGTAGAACAAAAAACTGTACGACGTACAAAACGTCTCGGATGACGACGCGCGCCGTACACACAGCCGAGGGATGAATGTGTTGCGCGCTAGCCGTGGACAGCACCAAGCCACTGAGAGATGTGGTCACTTTCTTCAGTTTCCTACAAAAGTTTGCGTTCATCACAGAAACGGCGGCACCGGTATCAATTAACGCTAATGTGGCGACTCCTTCAACATCAACGTCAACAACATTTTGCGGCGAAAATGGAGGCCTTGGGAATTGCGCACAAGTTGCAGTTCTTGCCTCCGGAACTGCACTGATTAGTTTCCCTCCTCAAGAGGTGGTCGACGACGCATAGACGATGGTGATCGGCGACGAGGTGATGGGAAACGAGCAGTCGATGGGTGGCGATCCGAGTCGGAATGCCTCTGTTCATATGCAGACGTGGTGGTCTGCTGCGGTGCGTAGGTAGGAGCTCCGAAGTATGCGTGCGCAGGCGTGGGACGGCGGCGGCAGAAGCGTGCAATGTGGCCAGCGATGCCACACGCGAAGCAGATGGGACGATTGTCTCGGGTGCGCCACTCATTAGATGGACGGAAAAAGCGAGGTGGGGGCCTGTAGACTGGAGGCGAGGCCGGAGGAGGTGGAGCCGATAAGGCGACTGGATGCGGTGGGGGCCGCGCGACCACAGCTGCGTAGCTGAGAGGTGAAGGCGGCGCAGTTGGTGCGTAGCCAGCAGTTGAGAGATCAGATGGCACCGAAGTGCACGGGTAAGAGGCCGGAACTGTAGGGAGTGCATTGCAAATTTCAGTGCGTATGGCCTGCTGCATATTCGAAGGGAGGCTTGTCGTGGGCGCGTCACTATGCGGCAGCAGGGAAAGCTGTCGGGCGACTTCCTCCCTGATGAAGTCTTTAATCTGGTTCGACAGAGTTCCTTGGTGAACGTTGCCATTGGCGAGTGCGACGGCCGAGATCGAATGTGGTGATGGGACACTCTGTCGGGCGATGGAACGCTGACGACGCAATTCATCGAAGCTCTGGCACAGGCTTACGAGGACTGCCACCGTGGTCGGGCTCTTCGCCAGCAACATCTGGAATGCGCCATCCTCGATGCCTTTGAGAATATGTCGAATTTTCTCTTCTTCAGGCATGGATGAGTTAACACGCCTGCAGAGGTCGAGCACATCCTCAATATAGCTAATAAAGGTCTCACCAGGTTGCTGGGCTCGGTGGCGCAGATGCTGGTCAGCGCGGAGCTTGCGGACCTCTGGTCGGCCGAACGCTTCGGTCACGAGGGTCTTGAAGGTGGACCAGCTGGCGATGGCGGTTTCGCGGTTGGTGAACCATAGCTTGGCGACGTCAGCCAAGTAAAAGATGACATAGGCAAGCTTAGAGTCGTTGTCCCATTTGTTGCTGGCACTCACGCGTTCGTACAAGGAGAGCCAGTCTTCGACGTCTTGCTCACCACTGCCGCTGAAGATTGGTGGGTCCCGCTGACGGGTGGCACCGGAGCAGGTCGACGGGGCAGCCAATGGTGCTGGCTGTGCTGGGATGGGCTGGTTGGCGACTGCGTCAGTCATGTTGTACGGTAGTCTTTCGGCCAACTTGCGAGAGCGGAGCTCCAGGTCTGCTTAGGGATCTCAGCAGCCTCCACCAAATGCGATGATGTTTATTAGAACAGAGGAGTCGCAACGAGGTCGCGACGGAAAATGGGCGACCAGCAAGTCTGGCGAAGGCGGCACAGGTTCTCGCGCAATCAGAGCACGGGCTTTTCGTTGTTTTTCGAAGGCGCTTACGCGTTGGTGCGTATGCTCCACTACAATGTGAAAGAATGAGAGAAAATGTGAATGAAAAACCCTCAGCACAGTCACAGCGTGACCTAGAAGGGTGCCTTTTTAGAAGCTTCTGTAAACACTTTTTGGCTAAAGGGGGTCGCAAGTCTTAGAATTGTAAAAAAATGGCCAAAAATATAGCGAAAAAAATGTGTTTTAGGCATGTTTCTGCCTCGAGGCAGCTGCCCTGTAAATATTATCACCAATTTCACCCGAGAAATTGGTTAAAACTTCGTTTCTAGATGTCGCAGAAGCCACAAAATGTATCACAAGAAGCAGAATTTATTCAAATTTGCCGTGCGAACAGCTCGTGCAGCACCTCACCGATCACCGCCAACTTGGGCCTGTTCTGAAGCTGTTTTCCTTGCGCGCATTTTGCGGTGTAGCAAAATGGCATCGCTTCAACAAAACACGCTTGCCATCGTCGGTTTTCTGAGGAGTAGTTTCTAAACGCTCATTTTTCAGAGCGCATGCAAAAGGTTAGCCGCTCTATTTGAGCCTCCCACTGGCCGGCACAGCCACAGGCGGTCTTTTTTTTTTTTTTTATTCTACCTGTTTATTCGCAGGTGTCGCATGCTCATGTGATGTTAGAAGTGTGGTCTTCCTTGGCTTTCACTTGCGTACAGCTGAAGCATAGTTGTGTGTGTGCTGGCATGTATGGATATTGTGGTATTAAAATGACGTACCAAGAGTGCGAGATTAAAAAACGCCACGGTAGTGCCTATGGCTGAGTGTGGTTGAGGGTGCGAGGCTGAACCCACCTGATGTATGCACTGTGTATGATGTATGCACCTGATGTATGCACATTTTTTCTTTTTAATAGGCAGGGGGATTACGGGTAATTATGGAAGCACCCAGGAAGTTTTTGAAAGCGTGCCAAAAAGGGCACAGACACTTCAGCATGTCAATGAGTTCAGCGAGAGTTTCATTTCCTTGGTATCCCTTGCGGTCGGTACCAGCAAATGCTGAGGCGGCCCAAAAGAGCCCTCTGGTCCAGCGTTGGGTACCTATATGGGACTACCAAGTGGGTGCGAAATGCAGTGGTGGAATGAGTGCTTGAAATCACAGTGTGTAGTGTGTTATGAAACAGCAGAAGCAATGGCATGTTAGTGGCAAAAAAGGAGCATGTAATTTGTCCTCATGGGCTTGAACGTGATAAGCATGTTTGGGCTTCTGCTTTGTTCCAAGTTTGGCTCAAGTGTCCCTTTTTAAGGCAGAAGTCTGCGTTTGAAGCCTATGACTTGTGCAAGAAGAGTTTCTCACTGAAGGTAGCTAGAATAGTAGTGATAAAATAATGCCTTGTGAAATGAAATGCTTTCATTTAAGGTAACCAATATCGTCGACGAGGGCACAACGCGAGTCATTTTAACCACAGTCTGACAGCAATACTCGAGTATCTAATATGCTTTGATAGCTTTTGAGAGATTGATTTCCTTGCTACAGCCTTCAGAAACAAATTCTGACATGAGGTGTTTGCAAAAAGAGCACTTTCACAGTTGTGACACAAAGAACGGGCTTTCAAATTGACACAAATTAGCAGGGAACCCCTTGTACGGCCCTTGCCTGCTTGTGAGCCAAATGTTATTGCGGGACCATTATAACCAACTTTTTGTTCAATAAATAAACCAGGCTTAATCTCTGTTATTTCATTAGCCTACGTAAGCTTGCAGGGAATCGGTACAGGCCAATGAAATGATAAAGCCAATGTCTATCACTCTGGTTCTGACTGCACTACGTGGCTTTATAACACACTTTTGCCGATACATTGGCTAGCTATTGCCTTTTATTTGATATGGCTATTTTCGAGAAGAACCAACTTATTCAATGATATAATTTGTAGTGCTGTGGGTGTTCTTTCACAGATGATACCGCTGTCTGAAACTTCAAATGCATTTTTCTCAGAGGTTTTTGCTCAATGCCCTCAGCTTTATGGGGGTTCTTTCTTTGTTGTTGAGCAAAAGTGACAAACTTAGTATCATTTTACTCGTACTGAAGTGATCAAGGGGGTGATGCTGTTTGTATTACTGTACAGTCATTCTGCAAATTATAATTGAGGATATTAACAAGAGTGAATATGATAAAATAGTAGTGAGTGCTGTTTTTTTTACCTACGCAGCGCTTGCAAATGAATAAAGATGCCATCATCCCCTGCAGCATAGCTTGGACACTGGACTAATGCACTTAAATACTAGTTTCAGTACGTTCAAACAGCCGAAAAGACTCAAAAGGAGTAGGCACAATTATTTTTTTAATCTCAATATTTTTTAGGTAGTACAGCTAATCATAAACTAAATAAAGATTTGAAATCAGCGTAAAAAAGTGATCAAAATAGTGAACTTTGGTTTATACTGATTCAAAACTAGTCACTTTTTATTAGAACCTACGTCCCCCCTTAACTAGCACACTTGCAGGGTGCCCACTGTGCCAGAAACAATCATAATTTCTGTGTAGAAGGAAGGCATCCCCTATGCCATTTTTCGCAGAAGAGTAGTACCCGCTACCCACTTGCAAGAAATTATTTGCACTTTGTTGAGGATGTAGCTTATGGCGGAGCCTATTGTTATGGGTTGGAGCATTCGATTACCCACTTGTTAAGCAATTTACATTGTGTTGCATCTGTTGCATCTGGCATGCAAGGGGACGGGCTTTTAATTCCAGTCCATTGCAGTTTTTTTTTTTTATTTCGCTCGATGGTGGTTACAGACAAGGACCGCAGTGGCAGTGCACATTTACGGCGCAAAAAATGACTCTTGTTGTGATATCTTAACAGCTTTTGCTGTAACAAACATTTTGCACCAGTTGGTACAAAACCTGCTACTTTCTAGTTAGGCATCCAACATTCAACCGATGGTAGATCATTCTTCATCTTGTGACATTTTTTTTTACTTCCCAGGAGGGTAATCACTAGCATTTGATGATCGCTGCAAAGCCAGCTTCTGCCTTAGGAGAGTTGCAAAATAACTAGAGAAAAAAAGAAAACGACAAGTTCATTATCACCTATCACTTGTCTTTTTCATGAAATTTAAAAAACTTGGTTGCATTTGGGTTCTTCACTGTTAGAATAGTTTTCTAAGTATAAGGGGCAATCTGCTTGCAGAGTTGGAAATACACCATTCCACACCTGTTCAAAGAATCAGAAGAAATGGCTGTGCAGCTTCTGCACTTAAACAAAGACTTTTGCAGGTTGGCAAGGTGCGCAGGGAACTAGGTAAGTGCATATTTTTGAACATTACTCCCAGGTGTACTATTGTGCACGTTCAGTTTGGTAATATTCTGAGCTAATGGAAACTGACGACAGGGTGTAAATTAACAGGGCCTCAAACTGGTTAGAAGAAAGAGTTGTGAACAGAGGTTAAGCAAGATTTCTGGGATGAATGTGTGTTGCATGGGATGAGCTCATTGATTTGACGAGGGAGGCAATACGGGTTTGTTGGTGGAACATCCTCAGTAAGTTTCCTTGTCGCGCCCCTAAAGGACAGGAAAAAATAAAGGCGCATATAGATAAAGCGCTAACTTCCAACAAAGTTCCGAAGCCACGGAACATTTATGCACTTGTGTAACGAGTCGGTCACATGAGCTTGGTGAACAAAGTGACAATATATACACATACTCTAACGATCTCAAAACATGCGCAGATATGTTGATTCTTTTTCCGATAGTGTTATCAACAGTTTGCTGACACACATATCTCCAAGTGCAGCAATCTGTTGGACTTCTGTTAAAAGCGGTGTCATTTGACATTTGCTTCTAGCTGTTATTCTCGTGTTTTCAAAGCTGGGGGAACATTGATGCTGATTACAATGTTGCACGAGAAAACCATCACTAGCATTTCTTCCAACTTTATTTTTGTATTCACGTAACCTATCATGGATGCATCTTCCCGATTTTCCCAATGTAGCATTTTCCACATGTCGAGGTAATGCTGTATGTGACTGAGTTCTTACACTCAACATACTTATTCCTCTGTTTTACTTGGCAGTTCGCAGCAATTTTCTTTCCTGGTTCTGTTTTTCTGCATAGAAAGGTTTATTAGGTATTCCTTCTTCGACTGACACCAAAAGCTGTCGGGGATAACCAGCATCTTGTAGATGCAAATCATGCTGACTGAATGCTTTGTTGTTACAGTGAATGCATGATTTGTTAGTGCATTGATGAAACATATTTTTAAACTCCTTTTTTTTAACTAATTTTGAATGGGCTGAGTAATATGATAATGATGGTTTAATCGCCCTAGGAAAGTCCCACCAGCATGTCATAGTCATCACTGAAGGTAGTATTAACATCTAAGAACTTAATACTTATCTACACAGGAATCCTGATAGTAACTTCTAGTGGACAAAGGCACTCACCTTGATGATTTGATAATTATTTAGTGTTTCTTAATTGTTCATCAGACTACTTTGACTCGGAGTATTGCAATGTTTTTGCTTGTCATGCGCGAGTCTACTTATTAGACAATGTCTTGGAGTACCATGTCGCTTTCTTACTGCTATTTCTATTCAAGGAGCTTTTGAAGTTATGTTATGATAGTTAGCACAAGTGCTTTCTCATGTGTCCTTCTCTTGCACCTCATACATTACCTAGACCTCCAAACTGTTGTTTTTTTCTTTTTTTCATCTGATGAGTGACATATGTCTTTTCTAATGGGGAGCCAAAATGAATTCTCTGTTTTATCTTTACATCAAACTGTCTGATTTATATCTGGTAGTGTTCAGACATTTATATTCACTGTACTTCACTCTAATATACAGCGCCAAACATTCTCCTTGCTACTTGGTAAAATGACCAAATTGAGCTCGCAATAAAATAATGGGAAAATTTGGAGCCATCTTGGAGAATTTAGGAGGGCATTCAAGAAAGATTGTCAGCCTATATCAAATAGTTCGTTTTTTTTATCAACTTCCCAATGAGCCATTTCAGGCAATTTTTCATAGGTACTGATTTTTTTATTGTCCTGCCCTAAGGGTAAGTTCATACTTTATGCTTATTTGTCATAGCTATCACGAGTACCAGATTTATTGTGTATCTAAAGTTATTCTCTAATAGTGCTTGAAACAGAATGCCTTCCCATATAGTTATTTATTTATTTTATTATTTATTTATAGAATACTGCGGACAAAAAGTCCAAGCAGGGTGAGCATACATGAAACACACTAAATAGCTCCGCGTTTTTTTTTTTTTGCTGCCAGAGATATGAGTAACAAAACTCCCACAACCGTCAAGGAACTTAACGTAGCACTAGCGGACTTGAGTGCTCGACTTGATCCTAAAAATGACCAACTGAAGGAAGATTTAAAGGCAATAATTGAAGTAGAGATACAACCGATAAGACAGTCAATTGAGCATAAGCATGCTGCACTAAAGAAAGAGCTGCCTAAGCTAATTGAAAAAGAGCTCAAACCCCTCAAAGAAGCAATGGAATTCATTAATAAGGAATTTGAGGAATTTAAATCGGAAATCGGTGACTTGAAAAATGAAATTGCAATCGTCAGAACGGAAAACAGGGCAATCAAGAATGACTTCAGCAGGCTCACGACTGAGCTAAGGGAAACAAGAAAAGAGCTAACAGAGCTACAACAGTACAGCCGACGTAACAATGTGGAAATTAAAGGTGTCCCCGTGCAAGAAAAAGAGAACCTTGTAGCAGTGATCAAGAGCATATCAACCTATTTGAAAGTGGATATAAATGAATCTGATCTCGAGGTTGTACATCGTGTTCCAACCAGGGAAAAGTCACAATCGAACATCATTGCTAAGTTCATCTCCCGCATCCCCAGAGATAAGTTCATGAATGCCACGAAGAAGCAAAGATTGACCACTGCAATCATAGGCTTTGAAGGTTCCACCCCGCTCTATATTAATGACCACCTATGTCCAGCTAACAAGGTACTGCTGGGCAAGGCATTAAAGGCGAAGCGCGAAAATAACTGGAAATTCACTTGGGTATCCAGCGGAAAAATTCTCATGAGAAAGACAGAAAATTCGCGAGTATTGCACATAACATGCGCAGAAGATCTATCGCAAATTTCCTGAGCAATGATGTTTGATTTTTCAAGTATCGACCAAGCTTGGCATGAGTACGAAAACTTGTCTGTTGTTCATTGCAATATTCGAAGTGCGCGAAGAAACTTAGACCAATTCTGCGCTCATTTGTCGCGTCATTCATTTGTATACGACGTTATCGCTCTTACTGAAACCTGGTTGAAAGATGGAGAATCTGCGCATGTTCCAGGATACACATTATTATCGCTACCTAGGAAGAGCAGTTCGCGAGGTGGGGGCGTTGCTCTGTTCCTTAAAAAAAGCATCGATTACCAGTGCATGCCTAACCACTCTACTAGCCAACCTGAATGTGAAGCCTTGTTTGTGCATTTGAAATGTGGCGTTATACTCGGAGCTGTTTGTCGTCCACCTAGCTCGTCTGTAGCAGCATTCATTTCTACTATGGAAACTGTCTTAGACCCTTTGATAGCCTACAACCGCCCACTGGTTATATGTGGTGATTTTAACGTCGATCTACTTAAAGATGAATACCCTGACTATGTATTGATGCTCCAGTCATATAATCTAATGAACGTTATTAATGCCCCTACACGAATAAGTGATAACTGTTCCTCACTTATTGATCATATTATTTGTGGAACTGATATGAGTGTTTTCGCCGGAGTGTATGACGTTACTATTGCTGATCACTGCCCCACTTTTCTGTTTGTGCCTAATGCTAATTTAGGACCTCCATGCCATAACTCAAAACGAGTTAAGCGGACAAACTACGCTGTAGTGCGCAAATTACTTGAGCGTACGGATTTTGAAGTCTTGTACCACAGTAATGTTCACACTGAATGGGAAAACTTTATTTGCCATATAATGGAGGCAATTAGCCAATCAACCCAAGAATACACAGGCCGAAGACACAAGGAAGCAATATGTCCTTGGGTGACGCGGGACATACTGAATGTTATAAAGAAAAAAGATACATACTTCACTAGATGGAAACAAAACAAAACAAATGAATACTATGAAAAGCAGTTGAACACTTCAGAAACAAATCAGTCGGGATGTTAAGGAAAGCCAAGAAGCAGTATTACAGTGCTAAAATAGTCCAACAGAGCGGTGACATCAAGCAGGTATGGAAGCTAGTGCGTGAAGTTACGGGAATAGGCGAAAAAAAGCACATTGCTCCGGATAATCCTACAACAAATACCGCTGATAACTTCAATAATTTTTTTACCAATGTTGGTAACAACTTTCCTGCTCAATCTCAAGCAGATCCTCTACATTCTTGCCAAAACAAAATATTTGAGGAAGACTTTCAGCTTGCAAGCGTAACCACTGAGGAAATTAGGTCAGAAATCCTAAAACTCCCATGCAATAAAGCCGTTGGTCATGATGGGATTACTACAAAACTACTGAAGGTAAATGTAGACCTTCTTTCGGAGCCTCTTTCCCGCATCATGAATAAGTGCCTGCAAAATGGAACTTACCCAAATATCCTAAAGATAGTGAGAGTCGTACCTATTTACAAATCCGGGGATCGAGAAAATCCGAGCAGTTACCGTCCCATCTCGGTGCTCAGCATTGTTAACACGCTTTTTGAAAAGGTAATTAGGTCCCGTCTCTGTCGATTTCTAAGCTCAAACGACATAATCTGCCCTGAACAACATGGTTTCATCACAAATAGGTCAACGAGCACAGCTGTTTTTACACTAGCACAGTTCGTCAACTCAGTACTTCATGATAACGAAATTGCCGTCAGCGTTTTCTTGGATATAAAGAAAGCATTCGATACTGTTTCGCATTCCATTTTATTAAAGAAATTAGAATCTTATTATGACTTCACCGAGAAGACACTTCGGTTATTTTCTAGTTATCTGGCAGATAGAAAACAATGCGTCGTGTTTGACCGTATATCTTCAGGATTTAGAAAAATAACATGTGGAATACCCCAGGGAACCGTGCTAGGTCCTATGTTGTTTTCACTATACATAAATGACCTACCATCTGCACTTTCACGCAAAACCATAATGTGCGCTGATGACACTGCATTGCTTTTTCGAGGTAACTCTCTGTGCACGCTAAAAGAAGAAATCACGGCAGAGTTGGCACAGATTTCCGCATGGTTCGCCCGCAACAAGCTCGCATTAAATGTAGCCAAAACTAAATATATCATATTTCATTCCAGAAGAAAAAACCTCGATTATAGTCAGC